CAGCCTGCCTTTTTTTCCTTCATACATTCTTCCTTTCGTGCCTACGGTCTTTAGTTGCCCTCAGTTCCTTCGCCCTTTAGTCCGCTCTATTACAAGAATCAGACAAGTTCATGGGTCTCTATCTATTTATTATTAAGGTTACGCGTGTAACCTCTGATAGAAATCCAAAGAACCGAATTTTGAATATTTTTGCGTCCCGTTTAGGATTTGGCTGCAAGGAATATTTTGGTATCAGAGAGTTTGGTTTGCAAAGTAGCAGATTTTGGTTTGTCTCGAGAGTTAGAAGACTCAGCTTATGAAACCAAGGTATGTGTGCCATACATCTCAACCCTCTAACTCCCAAGAATGACCAGCATCTAATTTCTCCTTACAAGATCACCCTGAATTACGAACTAAGGTCTCGAGAATTAAGGAAATGATCACCAGCTGTAAAAGCTTATGATTGTTAAACAAGTTCTTCTTGTCATCACCATAGGAAATGTATAGAGAGCGCAGTATGGAGAATATCCACGTCCAAATTTTAGTCCGTCAGAGTCGTGGAGTTTGTTGCGTTTACCGATGAGAGATAACAGTTATCCATAATTCTGCGATCCGATAAAACGTTCTCAAAACATTCTCTTAGCCTTGTCACGTTCGCCTTTCTTTGAATTTGTTGTTGTACTCAGTTACATCCTCAAGTCACGAGATGTTATCTGTTTTCAGGGTGGCAAAATTCCTGTCAGATGGACGGCATTAGAGGCAATTGAGTACCGTAAATTCACTCCAGCCAGTGACGTGTGGAGCTATGGTATCTTGCTATGGGAGATCATGTCATTTGCTGAGAGACCTTACTGGGACTGGGGAAACTACGAGGTAAGTCCAAGGGTTGGGTGTGCTGTGACAGGCTTGTCTGGGACTGGGGAAACTGTGAGGTAAGTCCAAGGATTGGGTGTGCTGTGACAGGCTTGTCTGGGACTGGGGTAACCAACCTCACGACATGCTCCACATACAGTCTTATTTCTCGTTCAGTCCTTCAGTTTTCCACGAAAGATTAACTTTGTGACCTTCCAACCTTTCGATCTGGATGTTGCGTATGAAGCTTTTCCCTTGTCTTCTCCCACAAGTTTATAGATTCTTATTCATGCTCTACTAACTTGCTAATAAATACATATTCTTCTGTATGTTTTCCAAGGTAATGGAACGAGTCAAGTCAGGGTACCGTCTTCCGCCTCCAATGGTACGTTTCTGGATTAAAATATTACCCAATTTGGTGTATATTAAGAATTTGGCCAATCTCAAGATATTTCTTCCTTTCACACATCATATTTCTCGAGTAAGCGCCTGGGCACTAATTTAGAACTCGGCTAAAAGGAGGCGCGCATATTGGATCAAGGGCGGTTTATCGAGGGGGACGCCTATTAAAGGGACACGGTCACGGTTTGCGCATGCACGTGTAGCTGATCGAAACTTGAAAAAGTCAGCCTGACTTTTTCAAGTTGCATTCACAAATTCAAAATGGCGTCTAGTGGAGGATCCGGACATGGCGGTAAACGCATCAACTCAGGGTGGAAACGAAAGGTTGAAGACAGAGGGAAATACAAGAAAGCGTGGCTGAGGAACCATAAGCGTATTTATGTGGAAGAAAAGACATTTAAGTAGTGGCTGCAGGCTAAATTTGATGCAGGTTATGAGTCTTTCAGTGACAGCGATTTTACCGATAGGAAAATAAAATAATGCCAGATATCACAGACATTTGTAGCATTTGCGAGGCAGATGTTTATTCTACTACACATTATAATTGGAATACATGTTAGCCTCGGCCGAACTCTACGGCTTTCATAAATATAGGCAGGTGACGACTGCTCGTTCGAATCCTGAAGAAACGGAATACACAAATTATTTCGTACGCTTTTTGGACATTCGAGCCACAAAAGAAGTGAATGTATACAACTTTATAGGCATGTATTCAACTTTATATGCATACCCTGTTTCTGCAAGGGTTATTGCTTGTTCCACATTTACATTCATCTGTACACAGCACGTTTCACCCTTTGCACGGGCACCCACGATAACTATTTTCTTTGCGCTTCATCGTACAAGCACTTTTACATTTACAAAAGATCACCGAAGGTTCCTCATTAAAAGAAATTCACTTTCGTGAACATTTGCTTTAGATAAACTTGATTTAAATGCAAAATATATGCAGAATTCTTCGACTCACCGATATTTCCATAATGGTGGTCGAGCGTGAGAAGTCTCGGAGAGAGTGTATGCTACTGCGCATGTCAACCCGTGACAGTGTCCCTTTAAGAAAATATAAACCTGTACTGATTCCGCTGTAGGTGAAATTTAAAAAGTTACAATTAAGTTGGGAGTATCCCTAGTATTTAAGAAAGCGAAGGAGAAGGGGGTGCTTGTTTAAAAGGGGTACTTGATTCATATTATAGCCACGGGGGAGGGCGCTTATTTGAGCGTGGATGCTTAATCGAGGAAATACGGTATGTTCCAATTACATTGAAGCAAAGTAAATTGAAAAATCTTTTTTGTTGTCTGTTGCAAGCGTGGAATGACTAATGAACCAATTCGAGGATTGCAGTGTTGCTTCACAGAGAGACTTATTTCTTTCCATCGGATATTTTTTCATCACTACAGTAGAAGAAGTGTTGTTTTGTTTTACTTTACTTCATTTTTTTCTGTTTTTGATTTCAGAACTGCCCGAAGGCCATGCATCAGGTCATGCTGAACTGCTGGAATGTTGATCGGAATAAGCGACCGAAGTTTGCCGAAATTGTGAAGAAACTCGACTCGCTTATTCGATCTCCTGAGAAGCTCAACGAGGATACCTCTACAGTTCCCAAGTAAGACTGATGACCTGTCGAGACTGTACTATCTTAAAGAATTTGAAAACGATCTTCGCAGTAGTGAGCACTACTAAAGCAGTGGTGAAAAAAGGGCCTGAAAAAAAATTCCGGCCTGTACGGGATTTGAACCCATGACCTCATTTGAGTTGGTAGACCCTGGAAGGTAAACGGCGGTCTGTCATTTAATTCAAGTGAAGTGCCTGCGAAGTTTTTTTGCCTTGAGTAATTGAGAGTGCTGTTTTACTTCCGATGAAAATTGTTAGACTCTCATGGGGTAAGATTGTGGTATATGTTCTCATCAGTGGAACCCTGTTGAACCCATGTGCCAGAATGAACGTGCTTGTTGACTCGGCATGTGGTGCATGTATTATAACTACCAAGCGGGTCACCGGCAAAATGATACGACCGGAGAAATCACTCTTGCTCTTTTCCGTATTGGGTATGGCGTGACTTATTGGATGACTTGTGTGACTCGCCTCATATGTATGTATGACTTGACTCACTGTATGAATGGTGTTACTTGTTGCAGGTCACCCAAGATGGAATATACCTCCATGACAACCGTGCAAGAATGGCTCGATAGCATCAAGATGGGACAGTACCATGACAAGTTCGACAAAGCAGGCTTCACGCACCTGAACCAAGTAGCCAAAGATGACGAGCTTGACCTCAACGATATGGGTATTAAGCTCATTGGTCACAAAAATAAAATCCGCAAGAGCATAAGGGAAGTGAAGAAAACTTTGGACAAGGAAGCCCTTGTTGTTGTCTAACTCTTGGTGCTGAATTGGTAACGAGCCAGTGTGGTCACCACATGTTTGAGTGGGATTTTAAACTAGGGCATATGCAAAAGCAAGCTAACATGGCTAAGAACAACAATCAATGGAAAACGATGGACAAGTATTTTGTGAGAGAGACGTTTAGTTAAGAGTTTTATTTTCTTTTAGCAGAATTAATAATGAGAATTCAAAATTTTTCCCGCTTTCGCTTTTAGAAAATGTATTTCTTTTAGGATTGTATGCTTATGGAATTTTGCTCAAGTTTCAAATTTAATCCAGAACAGGCCCGTGCTTCAGGTACAATATCGCACGAACAATATATTTTACATTATATTTTACAATATATTTTTATCTTCATTATTATTAATGATATTACTATAAAAATTACTACTGTATTAGTTTTATTATGTCCATGTCAGTATCTAAGTCACTCGTCACCCACCCCTCCCCTTCAACTTTAACCCTAACTTATAATCAGATCACTGTTTTTGGGATATGGGAGGGGTGGGTGCGCAGTTGTATAGATACTGACATAGATTACTATTATCTCATCTCTTTTTTTTTTTTTTACGATGATGACTGTGCTTATTGTGGCGGACATGTGAGTGGACCCACGCGCGCAATACATCAAACTTAAAGTGGGTCAAAAGAAAACTTGATTGGCAGATGGCATCGCTTTGGGAAGTAAAATTTTGCGGGAGAACATTGCACTATAATTTCCTTTTTTGCCCTTCAATTCTCTTATAAGCGTATGCAATCGGTGTGATACTTCCTGCACGATTTACTTGTCCGTCAAAATGAGCACAGTAATCTCTCTTCCTAAACGAGATTAGTTTTCTATGCTGTGTAAGTAGGAGGAGTAGAATAGGGAAAATTAATTTCATGTAGAAGAAGTTGTTAAACCTTTTACTCCAGAAAAATGATCAACATGAAACTTCTCCCTATAATTTCCTTACATTTTCCAGCAAACAGGTACTGAGAGTACTTAAACTTATCAGCCAAAAGTTGTTATCCTGATCTAACACCAAATTCTCTTACCTAATTTACAAAAAAAGGAAAGCAGCTAGAGGGAAGAATTATCAATCAGTTTTTGGGAGTTTTTTTTTTAGGGTTAAGAAGGACTGCGCAATTCATTATGTCTTGTTTAGTAGTAATCTTAACCAGTACGAAGCCAAATATCCCTTTGGCAAATACAATTTAAATCCTAGCTTGGTATATTCACTGAAAAACCTGCGAGTCTCTTTTTCGTCAAAATTGAACGGAATACACTTTGGTTCTTTTCTAAGTAGGTTTTCTTTGAGTTGTTAACGTCAGACAAGTAAGGGATTATTTTTAAGGAAGTTTTGTAGATTTTGTATAGTTTTCTTGAATCAAATGCGCTTGAGGATTTCTTGATTTAGTTATAATAATATAACATAATCTGTCGCGAGAACGTGTAAATATCAAATTCTCGCCCTTTATCATGTATAACCTTATATGAAATGGATCATTTCTTTTCGTGTTTTTAGTGTACAGGTACGAATTTTGAAATAAACAATATTTGGAAGGTTGTAGTAAGAAGTCGTTTGTTATCCCAGGCATAAAATAAGCCATCTTCTTCTCTTTCCATTTTAAAGTATTGCCTAAAACCCTTACATATATACGCGGTACCCACGTACATACATATGCCCTTTACGCCAAAGTGGCATGTAGGACCGCGTGCTCTCTCCACTTCTGTCAGTCCTTCGCTATGAGCTTGACGCCTCCCCAGGTCTTCCTGATCTCCCTGTTTTCTTTCTTCCACAACGCTTAGGTCTGATTATTTAACCAAGACTAGTCGTTGTTTCACAAAAACGGGTCCTAAACAATCCTAAATTTAGCTGAACCTTTTATCTGAACATTCATTTTTGCGGACAGCGTTAAGAGGGCTGAAAGCTAATAGTAGGACATCTATTTCATTAAATCAACCTTCTCATAGAGAAAGGCTACAAGGCCCACTGATTTCGTGAAACCGTGGTTTGGATTAGACCTCGTGTAAATAACTGGCTCTTTGTATCTGTTACAGCCTCTCTATAGGATGCCTTTCAACAGATCATCGGAGCTGCGTCTTTAATGAACACTGTATAGTTATATGAAAACGTCTGATCTAATAAGGCCCACTGATTGCGTAAAACTGTGGTTTGGGTTAGACCTCGTGTAACTTACTAGCCCCTAGACCCCGTTGCAGCCTCTCTGTTGGATGCCGCTAAACCAGCGAGCGGAGCTGCGTATTAAATACACACAGTGTAGTTATAAAAACGTCTAATTTTAGTGTTCAAGCTTAGGTATTTGAGCCCTTCAGTACAGTGTTTCAAGAACATAATCAATCGACACTTTTTTGACAAATAAAAAAACATGATCTGATTCAAAGTTTGTGCAACTAGACTTGGAGTTAGGTCGTTCTGGAGGGTTTTATCTGAACTTTTCCAAAGAAAGAGAACCTAGTCCTCTGATAGCATGACAGTACCACGGCCCTTGGGTTAAGCTATCGAAGTTCCAAAAACATCTAAGTATATTAACCACCCGGTGTCATAAAATGAGGTTTCCCCTTTGTAGTTGCTGTATGTTCTTTAAAGATATGACCACTGATCCTCAGTGTTAAATTTAGCATTGAGGATTAGGGGTCATATCAATTACCGTATACACTTTGAGAAGTCAATCAAAGGTGGTAAACAAAAGGTAAAGTACGTCTGCACTCGAGCCAAATGGTCCAGTGACTAAGGGTATTACTACTCTCTCCTGGATGGAATGCCAGTCCATCGAAGGGTTACCCCCACCCCCTCGAGTACGTTTGCACTTGAGCCAAATGGTCCAGTGACTAGGGGTAATACTACTCTCTCCTGGATGGAATGCCAGTGCATCGAAAGGTTACCCCCACCCAGCATTTTAATAGGCTTGGCTTTGATAATTCGTTGTTACCATTTATAATCCCAAGGTGGAGAGAGATATTGCTGTGAAAATTAGGTGTTCTGCCTAACACGTCAACCTCAAAGTTTTCTGACAAATATTCTCATGTTTCTCTCATTAAACGCAGAAATGAATCAAAGTCAAGTTTCTGAATCTATTTTATTTTCATTGAGCAAATATAAGATAATGTATTAATCTATCAGTCAATCTTTACGGAAAAGGTTCAAGTGTGAGTGTAAAACAGAAACAAGAAAAAACTTATTAAAGATACGGCATATTTTTTTTCTTTTTTTGTTTTATTTTCTTGGCAACTTCAAGTTTGTTGGTTATATGTATTTTGAAACATATATTTCAACTCTTAAAGCGGGGTAAGTGTTATATCTCACAGGGTAAAAGCGAACATATCTGGCAACGCCATAAGGCTTGAGGAAATTTTTTACCACACCATTCGCATTTGTGTTTCCAGGGAATATCTGTGAGTTAAGACAAGAGCAAAACACTTGTTAGGAATCGGTAACCTCGTCAAAAGAGGAAAGTTTTAAAAACAAAACTAAAGACACCCAAAAAAATACAAAAAAAAAAAAAACCCAGAAAACATAGAGAACAAAAAGCAGAAACTACAACCGTCAGTCAAGTAAATAAAAACAAATAGAAAGAAAGACAAAAGATTTTAAGTTATGGCCTTCCATTATTCCGATATTATTTGTAACATCTGTTAAAACGATGAAAACGAATTTTATTTTTAAAGGGTGGGGGGAGGGAAGTATTTTCGGCCAACAAAGGAAACAAAGACTGCCTTTTAGTATCCTGGTCTTACCGCCTTATCAATAATTGACTCTACAGAAGCAAAATAAAAGCAAAGAAAGAAAAAAACTAAAGCACGGGTAAGAAAAAAAAAATCAAAATTTTGAGAAGGATAAAGGATTAATCCTATTTAAGTAAAAAGTTTTTCATCAAAACAAAACTGACTCAGTTTTGAGTTTCAGGTATAGACAAGTTCACTCAAATTCTTTAAAGTTACTTATAAAGGAAACTGCAAAAACATTGCATAGCATCTTGTAGAAAAGCCAACTTTGTATCCTGAGTAATTCGAACATACTTACTTTATCAACATTGTCTTCCTGATAGAATTTCCATTGATTTCCATCCGTCGAAAGTTTGATTTTATACGCCGTGACCCAGTCAGGATAAATCCAGCCATTACCCTGAGTGGCTACTGCACAGACAGATAGCACTGAGCCCATGTCGACTTGAAGCCAATCTCTCCCAACATGTGCAGGATAGCTGGGCTCCCATGATCCTCCTTGTCCTTGACTCCAGAGCCTGCCGCGTGTTGCATCGAAATGTCCAGCGAAGGAAGAGCTTGCTGTCATTCTGCTATCTGGCACTTTGTATCTATACTGTACACCGATCGCTCCACACACTGAAAAAAAAGGGTCGTTAACCAGCTGGATTATTTAGAGAAGAAAACTTAAAGCTACTTAAAGATGTTTTACAAAGTTGCACTGAGGTGCTTACTTTAAAATAATTGAACAAACCAACAAATAACCACTCCTCCTTTATGAAGTGGAACATATAGTGCTATCTTAGAGACCAACCATATTTACCTGAGGTGGTCGCAGGGTTTTGGGGGGGGGG